TTAGTTTCAATTTCCCCTCTTTAGAATTAACGGCTTTGAAAAATCTCTCGTAACATTTAATACCGCTTTCCGTAAGTAATGTTGGATCCAGTTGCAGTATATTTTTTTGGAAAAAATCTTTATTTATTGCTGGATCAAGATCCGGTTCGTCTCCCATTAATTTGGAGAACCACTTAAAGCAAGCTTCACGATCGGACACAAACACACCCTGTTCTGCTAAACACTGCCAAATTTGTTCAGCTTGATCCTCGCATAACCATAGTTGACCATCCTGATGGAAAATATACATAAATCGATTATAAAAATTCGCAGGTCAGCACTCTGTTACTACCAATGCCGAGTACTTTTATATAAATAATAGGCAAATAGATAAATCGTGACATACTTTTAATAAAAAACGAAGAAAATTAAGCCTTTCTTGCACTTGCATAATGTGGTTGTAGCGACTATCGGGCATGTAAGTATTCGCATCAATGTCCGGATTTTCTTTGACCAATTGTCGCGTTTTGTTCATATAGTTTGTTAAACTGTTAGTTACAAGAATTACTATCGAGTGTTCTGCTTGAAGTCGTTCTATAACATCTTGCCTAAGTAATACAAAAACAAGAAGTAAAATACAATATAGAAGAAAGCAAGTATCTTCGGTCCTGAAACGGAATTATCCAACTTGAAATGTACATACCTAAAATGTAAATGGTGACCCCGAGGACCATGACCTACTATGTTAGGATTTGGTTCGTACAAGCAACATATTTCTCGAATTTGTTTTAAGGCGGGTAGAGCCCACTTATCGCCACTCTTCAATTCTTCCACACATTTGTCTAGCCAAATTGTCTTTTGAGCATCTCTTTCTTGCGAACAAGAATAATCAAGAATTTTTACATGAGCATTTAGTGCTTGATCCATAATCTCTGTAGGCACCTCATCGGAATGAGCCAAGTTCCAAAAGAGAGTTAAAACCTAATTTTAAATTTTACGATTAAATTTAAATAAAACTATAAATTACATTATACAAAATTACAAAACCTTATGTGCCATCACACCATCCTTATCATCTTCCGCTAGTCTTCTGATTAATTCTAATAACTTTTCTCTTTGTTTCTTATTAGCAGTCTTCCAACTCATCTGGAATGAGGAAAATCTTAATTAAGTTATAATAATTATGTCAATAAAAATAACTATATATTCAAAAGAAATATAAAATACCTGAAAACATTCAAAAAGATGATCAAGTTGTTCAGGGCTAAAATCCCAAGCGAGTTTGGCTAGTAAATCATGAACATTTTTCACAATTGCTTCATGTTTTCCAGCTTGTGCCGCCCAAACAGCGTCTAAATCTTCTAAAGTCAGTGCGCGTTCCTTTATAATAAAGCGTAAAATTTTTTCCAACTTCTCAACGTACTGAGGCTGATGCAACGAATCTCTCAAGACAATTTCTAATACTCCGTTTTCTTTTATCCATTTCTAGATAAACAGAATGACATGAAAAATATTTACACGGTTAAATAATGTAGAGCAAACAAATATAATCTTCTATTTAAGTCTAATTTAATTTCCCAAGTTTAACTTACAGCCATACGTTCCGCGGTAAGCCATTCTTCTTCTTCTTCGGTAATCGCATTCCGGTTATAATAAAAACTAACGGTGGTAATTACTTTATTTACTTCATTCAAAGCATTCATTTTCCCATTGAACGAAGAAATTTGCAAAAGTCTCAATATCATTTTCAGTCTCAGAATTTCCAAATTTTTAATCATCTCGTTTTGTTGTGGTACTCGCGACACTAAGCGTTTTGCGCTTTTGATTATGGCTGATATCGCATCGTTTTTTGATTCATTTTTTGCCTCCTTCTTTAATTCTTCATCAGTCAAATTATTCAAAATTACAGGCACCATTTCCTGTACATGAACAAATGTGTTACAAAACAATATATTCAATGTATTAACAATTGAAGCAAAACCTAAGATGCTTACCACAATAGGCATGAGATATTTAACTATTGTGTGTACAGTAAGTAGTTCGGAACACAAACCGAAAGGTCTGATTAAAGCATAAATAACTGGTACTGTTAAATTTCGGCCACTCTGAAATCTAGAGAGCAGAATTTCAAATCCATTAAGACTTCCAAACCTGTAAAACGAGAAACATTAAGATCTGAATACAAATCGCAAAATCATAAGGAGAACATCACGATTCGTTTACCTATTTATGAGGTCGACAAGCCAACCACGAGGGCTTCTTGAATCGGATGGTGGACGTGCATAAAGTTCTTCATCGGGAATATCACTGCTAGGGGGAACAGATTCCGAAGGTCTTGGAGCATTAAATGTGTGAAATCTGAAAAAGAACATTAAAAATTGACACTCAAATGAAACCTTTCGGCTCGCATATGAAAATATTTATATAACATAAATATAACTCACTTATTAAGAGGATTAAAAACCATCGCCAGTAAATCAAGAAGAGGAAACCAGTCCTCGTCCAGTTTCAGGACACATAGTTCCACTAACCGTTCACAGTTTGCATTAATACAGTTTTGAATATTCAGTTTCCAACTACTTACTGCATCGTCAGTCAATATTTTGGTAAAAGAAATTGTGAGTCCCTCTCGAAAAAAGCGCTGACATGCTTCACTTTGTACATCAATTCCTACAGAGAGTTATGTACAAAATTAACATTGTTTACTCAAAGACATCCATGAAAATTACTCATTATATATATATATATATATTTAACAACCTTTTTTACAAAGATCAATACTGGCTTGCAGCAGGCACTCTAACTCTTGTTCTGGCAGAACTGGTACAACCCAGCGTGGACTAGATATTTTTTCATGAAGAATGTTGAGTTTTGCTATGGGAAAATCAGGCTCTCCCTGGAGTTGATTACTATCCTCTATCGAAGTTAAGGTATCATTGGTGCAATCAGTTTGTACCACATTCTCTGTGAGTTGAAGTCCTGACATTGTGTCAGCCAATTGTTGCGGACCCGGTGGGCTATGCATCTATTATATGATCCATGTTAATTATAAATATAAATTTAATTTGTGTAAAAATGATTACAAATACTAAATGTATGAACTAATATAAAAACTATATTACTCCTATGTACCTGTGTACTTTGTTGGCTGTCAGGAGGGTCTATGCCTACTCCTTGGCCTCTTGTGGCAATCGTCATTTTGCGTGCTCCTTGCTATATTCCAATTATCTCAATACCTCTTGGTCCAATAATCGCACCACCAATAAGAATCATTCAACTCATTCACTGACATTAAATATAATTATACCCTAAAGGCCTTGTTTGAATAAACTATACCTACATTATCTGAAACAGAATAACAAAATTTCATATAACATTAAGTTTTCTCTACATTACTCGATGATGCTTTAAGAATGTTTTATATAAAGTGCTTCTAATTTTCCATTATTTCCTTAAATTTTATTTTAGTTTATGAAATTACTACATACATATATAGGAAATCAATTTTTGTCTGCTTTCCCAGGAAACACAGTTAAACTTCAGAAAACGAATTTGAAACCTGGAAGTACTATGCAAAAGTGTTAGAAATACAGCACACATTCTATGTGCAAAAAGGACATGTGTAGAATGTCGAATGACAACTAAATTTGATATGCACTGTTATCTCTGTATGTCTGTGTAAACTTTTTGACAAAAGAAACAGTATTAAAACGAGATGCTATACAGTTTCTTTTTTTACATCATTCGTGTTCGTTTAGTAGAAACGTCAAAAATTCGGTACATAGTAGTTACGGGTCAACGAGGTCTAAGAAAAAATACAGATAACGAGGGACGTGTCGCACGTTCGGTGAATCGCATGACAGCATGATCTTGCTAAGGTTTCAACCGACGAATTTCGCATCGTTTGTGTTCGGGCCAATCGAGAAACGATTCTTTCGTGAAACTATAATGGTGTCACTCGACCGTACGAGGAACTAACACCGATAATCGCGTTCAAAGAGAATTCTATCCTATTCTTTTTGGGGAGAATTTCGCGAAGCACGAAAGGTACGATGTCATGTCGCGAATTATTACTCCGTTTCGCTCCCTCTCATTCCCGGCTCTCCTTCTTTCGCCTAGCTCTTTTTATTTCACGGGTGTACCGTCGAACACGTACCGAGAGCTGTCAACCGTCAAAAATTTGAGCCAGAAAGCAAACCGAACCGGCTAACTCTCTGTCGATGAAACACCATCATCAAGCAAAAGATATCGCGAGAGATCGTCCCGAAATTGCGCGAAAATAACGTCTACGGCGTGCTCACAAAGGGACCAACGACGGACCGCCGACGGAAACGTAATCACGTATTATACATACGCGCACGATTCTTTCTCTCGCGTTAGATTTCTTTCGTTAACAAGATTTTGCTAAAACAATCCCAGTCAACCGGTATCTATGTAATTTCAACGATCCACGGTGTTCTGGGAGCAACTATTTTCGCCCCGTTCACTCAACCGGGCCACCTCCGGACAAAATGGCGACCATCCTAACGATTAGCACTGCCGTATTAAGAAAAACCTTTTAAATCTTCTGCTCCCGTTTAAATACCGATCGGATAACGTTTCCCAGTGTCACAGACCGTTCTTCTTATCACTAATTCACCTGTGAAACTTCTCAACAAGGAAAAACGCACCTTTACATAGTAAACGATGGTAGAAATATTTGTTGCACTTTTTGACGTGACGTTATGGAACTTGATGGAACTCACTGGCGAATCTGTAAACACGGTTGTGTTACGGCGCTACGATCGTCCCTCGACCCTCGAGTTAAAACGACCGCCGTACCCACTACTATCTTCACGATGCTTCTCTTTCCTCGATTATTCAATTGTGATCATACTTACTTCTTAAACTTCATCTTTTATCTTAGAATTCATTTATCGTTTCCTTAAAACGGTAGTTTATATTTTATTATATTTTAGTACTTTATCATGAAAGGACACGTTACATCGAAGATTCAAATGAAAAGTAATACAGTACATCGATAACAATTTCTTTTTAGTAATTTATTTCCATAAAATTTAATGAAACTGTACACAACATTGGCGAATGTAGTTTCTCTTAAACAAATAGTATCATTTAAATTTTGTAATTAAAGTGTCAAAACTAATAAGAATAAGGTAAAGAATATATTTCTCTCTTGATTTGTATTGTACAATTCACATAGTACAATTTCATTCGCTCTAATCAACTTAAAAAATTCTTCTGAGAGTAGTACATGTAAAATAAAAACAGTTGTTCTTATTACACATTACATGTTCGTAGAACAAATTGAAAAACAGAAAAGGGTAACTTTGAACTTTTATTTTAATAATGGTACATAAAAAATGAACTAATTCAAAAATCTAAATTTCCTTTATTATTATTCAAGGGTTTCTCTAATTCAATGGGACAATGGTTGGTATGTACTTTGTTTTGGAAGTTCTTTTTAATTATTAATTAAACCGGACTAAGTAAATCTACTTCATTTGACCAGTCTTATAATCCTTCATAGCAAGAAAAACATAAAATATCAATTCATAACACAATGCAAGACACGATAAACAAAAAACACTGTATATAAGAACGAAACATATTATCAAAATGATTGGTAAGATACTCGTGACTTTAGTAACAATTAAATTACAGAATAATGTCTATATCTCGCTATCATTAAATGTTCATGGAGATTATATGAAGATAAGAAAATAGTACACAATTTACAAACATGAGAATTTAAGTGATAGCATCTGCCTCCAGGAACTCATTTTTGTGTGTATTAAATTTTACGATCACTCCATTTTTCTTTCTCATTCAAAAGAAAAAATCGATATTCCTTAATTATTAAAGAGGTGCGATGGACCATTTTAATCCTTTTATCATCGCTCGCAAACGAAATGTATGATTGTATCTTAAATTCTAACAACCTTAGTAATGTGAAAACCTGGTTAATCCACTTCCAAAATTTAGTTTGTTCCTACTATCTCTCAGTAGAATTAAAATTTTAATTACAGCCAAACGTAATTTCCGTACGTACGGTACTGTAAATGCTGGGCCGAGATCATTTTTCATTCTCAGGAGAAACATTCAGACTTTTTTTTTCTTAACCGTATACATCAGCAATTTAAAATGTTCATCATAAAGTAAGCTCTTCGACTTCCTTTAGTAAGTCAGCTTCTTTTTTAATCTTGTCCAGTTGATTGATTTCTAATGATTTCCCTGCTCTTAACTGCTCCTTCAATTTTGAAATCTGCTCTAATTTCTGAAAAGAAAAAGAAAAAAAATATACACATATATAAAGGGTTCTAGAGTTTATCTACAATCTCAGTATATTTAAAATTCTTACAGCTTTAATTCTTTTAATTTTCTTACTCCTCTCCAAATCATCGCATTCAGTAACATTTGCAGCAGTCAAGTTTTGACTTCTTGTGGTTGTAGGAACTTGTCCATTTGTGTTTGAGGTACTATGAGTCTGGGAAGATGCAGAAGCTTCCGATTCCTTCTTAACTTTCTTAGTTTTTTTCTTTGTTTTCGCTGTACCTTTAGCTATAATTAATATAACGCAATGTACGCGTATAACATGTTATATATCATGTACTAATGTGTTTACACATTTTTTGAAAATGTTGCCTACCGTCTGTTGTTTTCTTAATTCCTAATTCGTCATCATCGCATAATTTAAAGGATATAGATTCCCTCCCTCTCACAAAAGGTGGCCGATATGCTTGTTTTGATGCTGCAAGTAAGACAAAGAAAATGATATATCATACGATAATTGTATATTTTTTTATTAATCAATGTAGCGATTTTATTACTTTATTATATATCTTGGAATTACCTTGTGGTTGGCTAGAAGCGATACCTTCGACAGCTTTGTAACTGATCGCTTTCTCTGGAAATGTATTTGGTGGGAAAGGTTGCCAAAGTACTTCCCAAAGTTCTTCTTGTTCATTCCATGGTCGTTCGTATAATAATGTTCCAGTGTAATGCCAGATTTTGAATCTTCACAATAAATTTGTTATTACAAATAGGTATTAACTTTTATTTAACTAATAATGTTACTTACCCATTACTCATTCGAAGTCTGGGTGCTGTAGTTGCGGTCATAAAATGTTTTCCGTCCGGAGACCACTGAAGAAGCGTAGTATCGGGTGCTTCAGTTTTAGCAATTAATTTTCTCTTGCCAACATCCCACAGTTCGATACCGCCGGAAAGGTTACCGAACCCAGTCAATATCAAAAGTAGAAAAGTGGTTAAGGAAATTAATTACGTATAATATATAATATTTAAAGAACATTTCAATTCAATAAATAAATTGTAAATAATATCTTAAAGCAGTTAAAGGATATTATTCCCTTGAGGATTATAGTAAATGCTGTTTCGATGCAGTGCTCCAAACTCGAATACCGATTCACACTTAAGATTAAATAATGTGGCTTTGGCTGGCATGAAACCATATAGAACACAAAATTCAGTATTTTTCGGTGACCACTCCACTGCATGTATAGGACCTTCCTTGTCTAATATAGAAAAATGGAATTCGAAATTTCTCTATGTTTTAATTATTACTTACTTACTTACTTACGAAGAATAAAGTGAGCTGATTTATAAATACCTAAAATCAATAAATTATTACTCACTAAGCATAACCAAAGCAGTTTCTCCTTTTGTACTAAGATAGTGCAAAGTCTGTTTTCCATAATATGAAGCTTTGTCGACCTCTGTACTCGTCATTAATAAAGCATTTGTTCCGAGATTATTCCAGTAAATATTTACTTTATCTGCCTGAAGAGAAATTGTTTGATTTTAAAATACATATGTATACATGTGTATATATTGTATAAGAACAATCCAATACCTGGAAGAAACTCTTATTTGCCAACGCCTGTGTAGATTCGAATTTCGGATATTGGAATAGTCTGCCAAATGATGGTTGACCAGATTTTCCTATTGTGTAACAACGTGAATTACAAAAAATATTCGATACTTATAGTTACAATACTATTATAGTATATATAATTACACAATTTTAATATTTGGTATTTAATGTGGAGAGTACTTATTTTACAATGTTTTATATAATAATATAGCAATCATATTATTCGTCATATTAGGTTCATTAATGATTTGAATATAATTTTATTTATAATTACCTGTTAAATATTCTTTTGATTCCTATGATTCTATTAATGTACTTATATATGAAATTGTGCATGCAATAATCAGGAAATTTTTTCCCATTACTATTGATCCTGATTATATATTCACATTTGTTTATTTTGCAAAATACTGTTATGTATTAATACTCTGTCGTATTTCTTTACAATATGAAAGTGTTCTATAGATATAATTATCTTATAATCTTCAATCCACCTGTGCATTACATGCTTGCCACGCATATTTGCTTCATAATGAGAGAAACTGAAATAAAAAAGTACTTCATAAAATATGCCAATTTTTATCTCAGCTACATTTGAACTATACTAGTATCAAATTCTTTATAAATTACATATTTCAATGAACAATGGCACAGGAAGCACTCGTATACAATAGATTACTATTTAACCATATATTTCATGGTAAATTCAACATTTAATAAAAACTATTTTTTTATTAAATAGCTCTCTAACGAAAATGATATACTCTCCACATGTAAGTACCTTAACACATTATTTAAGATTAAATGACACAAATAGTAATTACCAGGCATGTAACAGAGAATATAATATGAAGTATTATTGGGTGATATACTAAAGTTAGCAACTTTGGCTACATTTATTTTGTGAGTAGCTTTTGAAAAATCGACATCCTCATATAGAATGACATCTGCACCAACTAACATCCCACAGAGTTTTTCATTACTTGACCATTGGGGCTGCCTGAATAGACAAGACATAAATATAGCTACATACTAAACAAAATTCATAAAATACTTGTATAAGTATATCTTGTAAAATTTATCTTACACAAATGGAAAATTGACTAATGATTAATTATTAATCGTGCAAAAGATCAGAAAAGAAATGATCTTGCAATAAGATATTTACCAAGTTTATTGCACAATTAAAAATGACTTTCAATTTGTAACTAATGTAATAACTGGTCAAATAATACTTTACCAATCTATTTGTTTCTTCTGTATGAAACTTTTCACTAGTTCTCCACTTTCAGATTTCCATATGTGAAGATTTGGTGACCCTTGAGGATTGGCTTGTGTCGCTGTAACATGCAATACAATGATACTGTAAGTAATGTTATTACAATTAAAAACTATGTTCTGACAAGTGGTTATTCATTACATTCTACTAAAACTGCATGTAGCTCTTAATAAATTTATTTATTTTCTTATAATAGTATTATAAGAAATAAGAATTTAAAGGATATAAAATGAAATGATTACCAATGAATGGTTCCCATGTCATAAAATATGTGCCTTGAGTGGAAAAGTGAATTGCAGAAATTTTTGGCCTTTTTATTTCTGCAGCTACTTTCCATGTATCACAATGTAAAACCTTGGCAGACATCCCATTGATCCATGCAAAAAATCTTCCCTCTGGGCTAAAAGCCATCGCTTTGCATGTCTTGCTATCATCCTTAGGAAATGATTTAACTGCTTCGTACGATGGTGGCCCTTGTCCTAAGCTGACTCCAATTGTACCTCTTACTATAAAAATTAAGTTTATACTTTATTAGTTTTCCTTAATCTTCTTAAAAATGTTTAAAAACAAATTTCAAGTATAGTAAAATTTATTTAGAAAGTTCCCCAACATTTCGAAAAAAATATAGAGTAGACGTTTTAATTTAAAAAAACCATGCTCATTCGTATTTATGATATTGCAATGTAATAAATTCGTTCTTTTATAAATATATATTAGTTATACGGTGCCACATGACATATTTTTGATGTAGTCGATAGCGGTGTATCATGAACCTTGGAACCGTATTATAAATAGCTACACATTTTATAGATTCGTATATTATTCATAAATAAAACACTGGTCAAAATTCGATTTCGAATCATGCAAAATACTTATAAAAACAATATGAAAATACTTACCAGCGACACAAGGCACAGGCAACGCCATTTTACCTCCGTTACCATGTGGTACCGTAATATCGAGTATCGACCACTCTTGCCAGATTGAGGAATTTGTCCCTTGAAAAGGATTTCTTGCACATGCGTCACCAGCATCATATGCAAGTAACACGTGCGCTCAGTACCGTACGCAGATGTGTTCATATAATTTTTTGAATATCTAAATATAATAATATACTTTGACTTCAACGTAACGATCAATAGGTGATAAATGTATCATTTATACATATTTATTGTTACATTAAAAATTATACGGAGCTGATAAAAATGTCTGTCAGATTACTACGTCTGCGCAAATTCTAGTAACTCTGATACTTGCTGATATCGATTAGTTTTCTCGATTATACACTATTGCCAATAAAAAAATCGATATTTTGGCTGTTTAAAAATCGACATCTTTTTTATATTAGTCTTCAAATTACATTACATTTATTATATAGCTTTCTAATTTATTGATTCACAATTGTCTATCATTTAAATACAGTTCAAATCATGTACATGGATAGAATTTTATCCATAAAACAGAAGTTTAAATGTTTAATAGATAAAATGTGATTATACATTTTTGTAATCAAAGATCTAACAATGCTTGTTGTAAAACATTGATTTTACTACAGTATTTGATCCTAGTCTGCTGATTCCATCTAATACACAATTACATATGTATAAATTGTTGATTTAGTGGATGAAATTGAATCCAAAAAAAGATAAGAGACACATAATCGCTACTATGATACATCAGCAGTATTAGATAAAATATTATGACGGTGATAATGAAAAATAATATTAACTTCGAAAAAGCTATGCTGAACACCCTATATACAGCGGAGATTATATGTCAGCATCGTCTCGCGTGGGGTATGGCAAGTTCATGTTTCAGGTGAGCATAAAAGATTTCGCGTTATTTTCTGATAACACTACGATCTTTCCCTTGTTTTACAAATATATATTAAAGCTATAAACAATATAGTTAATATGCATAAATTATACAATTAAATATCTTCCCGCTTTTGTTTCAATTTCAATTAGGTTATGTGTCTATAAGTATCAGTTTTAATAATATATTAGAAATGAAGTATGTAAATAATGATCGAATAGGGTGATTTTTTTGGTTGTGTTTAAAAAAAAAAAATTATTTTGTACTTACTATTAGAAAACAAAACCTCTATTACTTTTGTGTAAAATTTACTTATATTAATCTGTTTTTTTATATTTAAATTCTTACTTATTTTCGAAATTTAAAAAATATCGTATAGAGATGCTAATATAATTAGTAATTTTATGCCATTTAACTTGATTGTTAGCAATGTGGACGAGTATGGATTTGAAAGACCACATGATTTTGACTATGAAACTTATGAAGATTTTATCTCAGAGTACCTCAAAGTACTTGCTAAAAGAGCAAAGAAATGGGCTGATATTATCGGCGAAGGAAAGTCATTACAACGCAGTATTACAATAAAGAGATATGTTCGTAAAGGTATACCAGGAGAACATAGAGGATTGGTAAGCATAAAATTTAAAAATTTCTATTGATAAACTTTGTGTTAATAATTTTACTTTCAAAGGTTTGGCTTACTGTCAGTGGAGGAGAAGAGATGAAAAATGCATCCCCAGATCTTTACCAAAAATTATTACAATCCCCACATAATAAAGAAGTTGCAGATATCATTAAAACTGATCTACCAAGAACTTTTCCTGACAATATCTTTTTCAATAATACGGAAAACCAGCAGCATCAGTTGTATAATATTCTATTAGCCTTTGCTCATCAAAATAAAACAGTAGGATATTGTCAAGTAAGTATTTCAAAATCTATTATAGAATGTGTGTGATATATCTAAAACATAAATGTTATAAAATACACAACTACATTTTACAAAGATATTTGAATTTCCTTTAGGGCTTAAATTATATAGCAGGTCTATTATTGCTTGTTACAAAAAACGAAGAAACAGCTTTTTGGTTGTTAAAAGTTCTAATAGAAACAATTTTACCTGATTATTATACACCCACCATGGATGGCTTGCTTACAGATATTGACGTGCTTGCAGAATTAGTCAAGTAAATGTCTCAAATCTTTATTGTTATTTTTAAAACGATTAATAAATATATTATTTTTATGACTATTTTAGGATAAAGATGCCAGATATTTATGAACATGTTACAAACATAGGCCTACCTTGGGCTGTTATTACAACAAAATGGTTTGTTTGTTTATTTGCAGAGGTTTTACCAATTGAGGTATAGTTAATCATATATACTATTTGAATTAAAACTCGTATAAATTTAATGTTTTAATCTTTTTAAACATTGTTATACATATAGTGTGTACAGAGTTGAAAAATTCATTTGTTAGTTTAACATTTTGTATTAATAATCGAATTCCATTTTGGATTGCCATAAACTATAGAAGTACTGAATAAAATATTTCCAACTTGGCAGACTACGCTGCGTATATGGGACTGTCTGTTTTATGAAGGCAGTAAAATAATATTTCGTGTTGCATTGACTCTGATAAAAAGGAACAAATCCAACTTGCTTGCATGTCAGAATTTCACGACATTAGCTGAATGCTTTAAAGAAATAACAAAGGACAGTATTGTGTTAAAATGTCACGATTTTATGCAGGTAAATATAATTTACTTTTTGAAGTATAATACTTCGTTTTTGAAAAAATTAAAAATATCGTTACAAGATACGTCCTTTTTATTAGAGTATATTTAAAGTACCCGGATCACTGCCTGGAAGTACAGTGTTAAAATTACGAAAAAAGATTTCACGACAACGCATAGAACAAAAAGAAAGTAAACTAGGACGATAGTACTAAGAAGGAGTTCGCTCATTGTCCACCGAAATATTCTAGTCAATATATTGTTTTTTTGTAATTCTTACAAAAAAAGCATGCTGTGTAAGATTGTATCATAATATTATGTCTACAATGATTCTGTAAATATAAAGTTAGCATGGAAAGATAAGACAATATACCAATGATATTCGTATTATTGATTTATGCCGTTCTTTATACATCTATTATTTGTAAAAATGAACAAATATTCTAAATACTAGTTTTATCATGTATTCCATAAGATTGTAATATATTGGTTATATTAAATTCGTATAGGTATCTTTATTACTATTGTTTTTAGCTCAAATATACAGTATTGCAATTAAAATAACCAGTAGTTTATTTATTTACAGATAATTTTATTATAAGTTAAATAAAATATAAGATCTACTTATTATGTTATTAGATATGTACATTAAATTTTTTTTGCTAGAATTAAATTAATAAATGTAGATGTGATACAAATTATTATGTCTAGTCCTTCATTTAACTACGTGTATTTGGGTTATTTTTCAAGTAAATCCTTTGCTTCGTTAATTTTTGCTGCAATGTATGGAGATCCTCCTCGATCTGGATGATTTACAACCATTACTTTTTTAAAGTGTTCTTTTACTTTTGCTTTGCTTGCAGTTGGAGATACACCCAATATTAAACTAGCTTCACGTCGAGACATTTTAGCTTCAAATCCACCTTTGTAATACTTGTTATTTGCCAATGTCTATAACCATATACCTCGTTATATATACTGCTATGTCTGCCTTCGAATTTTATATTTAACCTAACTTACTTGTGAATCTAATTTTGGCATATTTTTAAATGCCTCTGACATCTTTTGAGAAATAGTTGGCATTCTTCTAAGTATATAACGTCCAGTAAAACCCACTGCAGCTAGGCCTATGCCTGCTGCGACAAGCGTACTAGCCTACAAGAAATAAAATCTAAAGCTAGTATACATACCCAAGAATTGTCTCGATTTACGTTTATTGTAACACATAACATAAGAATAAAGCTATCCAATAAATAAGTAATTGGATATTTCCAATACATGTGCTAGTATATTCACGAATCTTTGGTATTTTATGTTTAATTGCGGATCATGAAACATTTTAAACTCAATGAAAAATGGATAAACGTGAACAATATATTATTATAAATGTTTATGTAGTATCGGTTATAGATCTTAAAAATAAATTTTCGATTTATTCTTACCATTTCAACAAAATTGTCAAAACAACGCAGAAGTTGAACACAGATAATTTAACTTCAGATCTTCAGATAAAATAAGTTAGGTTTGTGTTAGATTATCAAATAACTATTGCAAAACAATTTAATTTTGCATTAATATATAAGTATGCTGACTCGATTTATAGACAAAAAATGTATGTATCGCCATCCAGCGGTCATTAATCCGAACTAATTTTTCGAAGGTATGTACATTTCATTTTCCTTATAATTAACTTGAAACAAAATTAAATATAAAGTGTATGAAGTAATAAAATGATTAGCGCATATGTGATTGTACCAATGTATTATTTTTTTAATATACTAGTGGCGTCATCGATGGTAAAACGGCTAAGTTTCACGTGAAAATAGTTCCCACTGTTACTACTAGATGACACCACTAGCTACATCGTAAATTTATTACGTTTTCTTCCTGTTCAGTTTTTAATTGTTGATCCAGATCGAAGGTTGCCAGCCGGGGCTGCGTTAAGACATCCAGAAATTGTAAAAATCAAATTACATGTTGAAACTTCGAATCAAAAACTTGCAATCGTTCTCCATACAAGAATGGCAGTGTTACCGCCGTTGTACATGTATAGCAATGTTTGTTCTTGGTATATGATTGCGCAAGCATAAGATTCACCAACGACTACATGAAATGGTCCACCGAATCTTTTATCTAAACCATCTTTAATTGAACGAGCTGCAAGTTCATGATTATCTGTAAATTTTTCCGTTGCAGTAACACACATTTCCATAGCTTCCTGTTTCATGTCCTCTTTCATGTCACTGTACTGTAGAAATTTTACTTGTAAATCGAATTGTATTAAAACACATAATTTTTAACCAGATCTCGTGTACATACCTTACATAAAGGATATGTGTGAAATATCAATGTTTCTTTCGGTTTTTTTACTTCCCCTGCTGACATATTTTCTCCTGTTTTATGTTTATATTCATACGAATTAATTAATGTATCGAAACGTGAAACGTATTTTGAAATCTGTATTTGCTATTTGAGTAGCAATCAATTATCAAACAGTTTCAATTGTTCGATATATGTAGTTGATAGGCAAACAAAAAACTAATCAACATTGATCAAAACAAAACATTGACCTTTTGCAAATTTGAAAGCATCGTACTGCGTATTGAAAGGGTTACTTTTCGAAAGCAACCAATGGCTTTCGAGTATTCAGATACAGGTTTCAGTCAATTAGATCCTTAAACTTCAAAAGGATTCTAACTATAGCTTGAATAACCGCTTATTTTTGGCGCGAAGTTGTTTTATAGTCATATTTTTAAAGAAAAAAGGACGTAAAGTGATATTTATTTTAACGTATAATACACAGATACAAAAATAAGGTAAAATAATGTAATATTATCATGTGTAATGCACAAAAACTTCAATATATGTACATACATATTTGTAAGACATCAAAAGGCAAGACTGACAGCAATATGAAAAGAAATGTGAATTTAAAAGACCAAATAAAAAAATATATTTATTGTTGCCCAGATAATTTGTATTCAATTCAATTTGTGATTCTAAATATATCGTACTTAACGTATTATTAAATTGTATTGAACACGTATAACCTATGAAATTTGGTTCACGGTTTCCATTGATCAAGGTCAAATTTGTGTAATTTCAAGAATAATATAAAATGATTTGAAGTATTTTCTTGATGATATAAATGTGATCATTAAATGTTGTAAGCTGTAATTTTATTGTATAAAAATGTGATAGTAATTGGTAATATTAATATAGAAAATATTAAATATATTTAGCAATAAATGAACTACTATTATATTTACAGTTATAGACGAATGTATGTTATAAATTTTATTGTTACAGTAAGATGGAAGATCCAGCTATGGCACGCTTAAAAACTTTAGTTGTAAGCAGCAATGACGCTTTGGAATTTAAAATGGTCCGTACTGTAGAAGATCTAGAAAATGATGAAATTATATTTAAACCAGAAATGTCTCATCAAGTATTCGGAGACAGGTTTGTTATTGAAGTACATATTATTACTTGTATAAATAAGGGAGTATTTCTGTACATATGTATATTATTTCTTAGCGAATCTATATTTGGTTACCGGGATCTCAGAGTGAAGCTATACTACTCAGCAGGTTGCTTAGAAACTTATTTAGGTATGACTTATTCAGAGAAAGTAAACAAAATGATTTATGATGGAGTGGAAGCAGATGAAGTATTGCCAAAAATTGCTGAGAAACTTGCCCCGCAAGTTCATGAAAGCTTAGATGCATTTATTAAATCCCTGAAGAAAGATGATGCATTTAGACCTCATGGGGAGTTATTACATTCGTTTTCCGTTAATGGTAATTTATTATTTTTATAATTAAAACTCAATAATAACAAGTTGTAATTAATTAATAAATATTTATAAATGATATAGATGAAGGCTGTACAAGAAAATTTGAAGTTTATAAAGCAGATATGACTTATAAAGGATTCAAAGAGTTCCACCAACGTCTACAAACATTTATTCTCTGGTATATAGATGCCGCTAATTTCATAGATATAGACGATGATCGATGGCATTACTTCAATATGTAAGTGCAATTATTATCGTTTGTTGTCTACTAATTATATGTGTACTCTTCAACGGTTCGCTTTCCATCTACATAGGTTCGAAAAATATCATACAGCAGATGGTTCTGTTCGTTATGCAACTATTGGTTATGCGACTGTGTATCAGTATTATGCGTATCCACATCATACTAGACCTCGTATAGCTCAAGTTTTAATTTTACCGCCATTTCAAAATATGGGTCTTGGTGCTCATTTATTAAATGCTATTTATCGCGAATATATTGGAAGAAATCAAGTCAAAGATATAACAGGTAAATTAACGTGTATTAGCTCGTCTTTCTAATAATCACGTTATCATGCCTAATCAGTGTTTAGCTTTTGAGAAAAGCGAACCAAAACCGAGGCCTGATCGATCAATTTGGTTTCAGTAAATCTAGTACATTTTGGTAAGGCAATATCATCATTTTTGTAGTTGAGGACCCATCTGTGACTTTCCAACGACTAAGAGATTATGTGGATGCAACGAACTGCAACACGTTATCTAGTTTCTCACGCGAGTGTCTACTCCAAGGTTTTAATAAAGCAATGGCTGCAGAAGCGAGAGAAAAATTCAAGATCAACAAGGTATCGATAATATTCTTTTCTTCTATATTAATAAACATATAAAAATATTTATACAACAGGAAATACCTCTTATTTTTAGAAACAAGCTCGTAGAGTGTATGAAATTTTGCGATTACGCGCAACAGACTTAACGAACGAACAAGAATATCGTGAATACAGATTAGATGTAAAAAGGAGACTGAATATTCCATATAGACGTGAACAAAACGATTTAAGAAAACTGGAATGTGCATTGCAAAATATCGATAAACGATCTAATATTACATTACCCACATTAGAGCAACGTATGCAAACACTCGAGAAAGAATATAGAAGTTTAGAAGAGGAATATAAAAAAGTTATTAAACGTCTGGAAGATGCGGAAGAACTTTGAAGTTGTACATTTTTTTCATTTTTTGTTACTATTAAGCAGTCTATGTATAAGTTGATTAATATTGTTTGAATGTGAATCATTAGCCGAACCATTTAATTTAATGGCTTAATAAACTTCTTTTTGATTAAATGAATTAAATAATTATATTTGACAAAGGAATTATTGATTTAAGTTACACATCCTCCTTATAATGCTACTATGCCACGCCAAAGCTTAACTAATTCTACTATAATAAAACGTAAATTAAAAGTTATTCTAATTATTTGTTTGACAAAACAGAGATTGCACGTATTTTATAATTGATATAAAATCCTATATCAATTATAAAAAATAATATACTCACAATATTTAATAATGGAATGCTAGATGGCGCTTGTTTAACTTGATTCTACCAAGTGATATAGTGTGATATAGTCAGATACAGTATTAAATTTTCTACTGATAACACGTATCTACCAAAACCAGGAAGTATTAAATTGCCAATAATTAAATAACATTGAATTGCTTTTGAAATGACTAAGTACAAAGTCAAGGTAAGATCATTTTCCTAATATAATTTAAAAACATCACATTTGTTTAATTTATTTTAACGATGTGCTATATAATTAACTAAATTACTTTTGAATTACTCTTATGTACTTTACGAAATTTTACACGTAACATTTTATTGCATAAAAACAAATACGATAGTGTTTTTACGTAAAAAAATAATTGTAGTAGTACGTCGAACAGGTGGCTGACAATTCTGTTTTCGTTCAAAAAATTACTGTTTTCATATAAATTAATATAATTACGATTTACAGATCGGTATAATTGGCGGTTCTGGTTTGGATGATCCCCAAAATCAAATTCTCAATTCTCGCACAGTAACTACTCGAGAAGAGGCCAAAAATGACTTTGGATTACCTTCTAGTGATCTCTATCATGGAATTATTAATGGGGTAGATGTTGTATTATTGTCAAGGTAGTATTCTGTTCAGTATTAATATTATCTTAACAAAATTAATAGTAAAAATAATAATGCTAATAACAGGTGGTAAATTTATTAGTATACAAAAGTGAATTAATAACAAAATCTATAGTTCCTCATTTAATTATTCTCTTTATTTTAAAAGTAATATTGAAGAAAGAAATTTTCTATACTTAATAAACACAGACATGGACCAGGTCATAAGATAAGCCCCACTACAGTAAATTATCGTGCAAACATTGAGGCTTTACGACTAGCTGGATGTACTCACATACTTGCATCAGCAGCATGTGGCTCTTTACAAGAATCCATCTGTAGAGGGCAGTTAGTAGTTCCAGATAGTTTCATAGATAGAACAATAAAAAGACATGTGACATTTTATGATGGCAGTTCATCCAAATATTCAGGTAAATCATTTTATTATGAATTTTACAATAGTAGGTATTACACAATGTAATATTATAGGTGTATGCCATATGCCAATGGAACCAGCTTTTAATCCAGAGACATCAAATATATTATTCGAAGTTGGTAACGAATTAGGATATGAAATAAGAAATGGTGGAACTATAATGGTTATCGAAGGACCTCGTTTTTCTTCAAGAGCTGAAAGTAATGCATTTCGGCTATGGGGTGGAGATTTAATTGGTATGACTACATGTCCAGAGGTGTGTTTTTTTTTTCAATTATAAATTAGGAAAAAGTAGAATGTAGCATTTTATATTTAAATCAACTTTTCAACCAGGTATATTTGGCAAAAGAAGCAGGACTCTTATATGCAATCATAGCAATGGCAACAGATTATGATTGTTGGCGAGACTGTGAAGATAATGTTCATGCAGCCGATGTCGTAGCAGTGTTTAAGCAAAATGTCAATAAAGTAACGAATCTACTTGTAAAAGCAATCAAAACCATAGGCGAAAAGAATTGGGATAATGAAATCGATGATTTGAAGGTAACATATGAATACAATAACATATACATGGATACAAAAAAATTACTAATTTCAATGCGAATTTTTTTCTCGTTTCAGGATTTATGTCAAAGTAGTAATGTTTCTTCTTAAATTTTATTACTTTTATATTTCATTAGAACAATATCAACAAGATAACAATTTCATTTTAATACCAATAATTCTAATTTATACACTTTCTACTCAATGGTTTTGGGAACGTTATTGTTATTTTTAATAAATGAGATAATGACAAAAACTTGGCATTTATTACCTAATACTATTTATCAATACAGTTAATAAAAGCAAATTGGCTGTATGATCATTTTTGTTTAATTTATCTACAAGCTGTAACGATTGGTTCTTTGATCACATGTAAGATTTCATTTATTTTGAGTTTGGTTAGTATTGTCATCACTATAACTAAAGTACTGTTTTTACAATCGGACCTTTAGAGTAATGTGATAAAAATATAATATTGTAATTGATTTTATGGTATATAAAATAATACATTTAATGAATTATCAATATGATACGTACAACGTTTTAAATGTATAGAATATGTTCATCATATAACATATCGGAAAATCTATTTTTGTACAAATTTTAATTAACGACGATAAAATTTTGTTTCTTTATTAACAATTTATCGCCAATAATACAATAATTTACATTTTGGAGTACACTTGCGTTTTGAAGCACCAAAGATTATTAAAACAAAGGTTATAAACTGGGTAAATTATCTTTTCATAAGTTAAAATAATTTGATTAAATCAGGGATAATAATATTGTACCAGCAACCCGTTCTGTTTCTAAAACGTATGTACAGATTGAAAATGAATAGAATTAAACATCGATTCGATTTATGCCCATCAATCAAAAGTATCATTTTCACAGAAATGAATTTAAATGATACTTACAGTAATATTGCATAGTTTACTTTCTATACACAAAGCATTTATAATACAACCTGTTCAATCATTCAACATTTACTGCAGTGATCCTTCACTGTTACATATCGTTTTTGTGCGGCCTTCAAATTAACACGTAATACTTCAATTTTATTTTATTTGTATACTATTGAAAATAATGTTAATAATAATACTTCGAGATGTAACTAATGTTTTCCAATCTCATAACTCTTTCCCGGGTTCCGCTTGTTAATATGTACTAGTTCAATGTGCATCATTAAAACAGTAATTTGAAATGAGTTTTATGAAATAATCTTTTATAAGACAATTTTCAAACAATACTTATTTTACTAGTTGCCACATAACATATGTAATATGAAGGCTTTTTGAATGAAGACGGTTAAAGCATTAATTCGTTCAATGTTACGATTTTCTGTTCTCATAACAAGATGCGCTTTTCCTTTCATAACAATATTCACAATGTTCTTAATTTTATAGGTAATACATAAAATAATACAGTTATACATTGCAGAATTTCTATTCTGACACGATACTCATTTTTTTTCTTTTTGTAATACCATGTAAAATAGGTTGTGCTGTATCCAATTTTGAGGTTAATAAATTAATATAATGTGTAGTCGCTACAAGGAATATATGCTTTTTATAACTGTAATAATATTTGTTATTGAATTAAGCATAGTCTTAAAAAAAAAAAAAAAAGAAAAGAAGTTTCTGTAATATGTATATTCAAATATGTTTGTTGGAATTTATACAAATGATTGCACAATCTATTATGCATAGTTTATATTGAGCTAATATCATAGTTCATACATCTCTCCAGGCATATCAATGTACTATTTAAATACAATTTTTTGATAAATGTTTGGTCTTCTCTTGGAAGTGAACCAACAATGATTATGATTATATTGAAAATCAACAAAAGTACACTTTGTATGTACCGGGTATTAAGTACCTGGAGTTACAGAAGTATGTTATGTAAATGAAAATATATTTAAAACATAGAAGGAGAACAGGCTCACTTTTAATAATTAAACCTTACTGTCAACCATGTCTACGTTGATTTTATAATACACATATGGAAAATAGTCGTTTTGGCCGAAACCTAACCCTGGTATATCCACGCTCTGCTTAAACAAATCAATGTACATAGTAAAAACAAAGTAAGAACCTTCATAATGGTAATAATAATATATTATAACTTACGTCTTGATTTGCTTGAGCAGCTGCACCAGCTGTAGCAGAAGAATCTAAGTGAGCATAAAGCTGATTGAGAACATCGCGTAATCGCCTTGCACACTTTTTATGTGGATGCAGTAAAATTGCTTGAAAATTCACAGGTAAACCATACCTATTAAATTATTGATGTAATCAATATATGTATACATGTATATTTGAAGATTATATACCATCGTATATTAAAAGGTATTACCTTAGAACGGATTCTACAAATACGCGCAAAGCTTTAACATGAATCCATGCACAGAAACATTCGCTGAAATTAACCTTTAGCCAACGTACAAGAGGTCCAAATTGTTTCTTTTTATCAGTTACAAGTTTCGTAATCTCATTTTTCCCTATAATATATACCTTAGTTAATGTTATAATTATAAGCATATATTAAAACAGCTATTACCTGCTGCTAATTCTTCTTCATTGTATGTAAAGTCACGAACAATGAACTTCTTTTCACGGGCGTGTAATTTAAATTCTTCGGTAACTTTCTTGAACAAAGTGACGGTAAATAAACCATACTCAGCATCCTGAGTAATAAGTTGTGTACTACGCGGCACTATCATATTCGTTAATTTTTCATATCCACTGTGCCATTCCTGGAAGCTGGTTCTGAAGTTTTCATGTAATAAAATTCATTATTAGATGTTACCGATAACATTCGGGATACCGTATCGAAAAATTAAATAGATATACCTTGGTACAATGACAAGTAACGTCGTTAAGTATTCGCTATCCAAGATAAAATGTTCCTTCCTTACTAAATCTGCCAAGTTTCTTGTTAATAAACTTCCTCTGTACAATGATAATTATTTAAAGTTACTATTTAAATAGATTTCGAAAATATATTGACCAATAGCTATAACGACATAAACATATAAAACACTGAATTTGCACTGAATTTAGTTATGATCTTACGTTTGTTTCTTTTCAAGGTTTTGTAAACTGCCTTTTAAATTATTATATGTTGTGGATTTTGTTTTGAGGTCTGCATCAATCTGACCCACTTGTTTACTGATAATATCAGCAATATTTCTCAGCGATTGTTTGATAGGATATTTT